GGTCTCTGTGGGTTTCTGTGGGGTTTGTGTGGGGTGGGGGGTCTCTACGGGTCTCTGTGGGTTTCTGTGGGGTTCATATAGTTCTCTATGGGTCCCTATGGGTCTCTATGGGTCCCTATGGGTCTCTATGGGTTCCTGTGTGTCCCTGTGGGTCTCTATGGGTCTCTATGGGTCCCTGTGGGTCTCTGTGGCTCTTTATGGGTCTCTATGGGTCTCTATGGCTTTCTATGTGTTCCTATGGGTCCCTATGGGTCTCTATGGGTTTCTATGGGGTTTGTGGGTCCCTATGGGTCTCTATGGGTTTCCTATAGGTCTCTATGGCTCTCTATGGGTCTCTATGGGTCCCTATGGGTCCCTATGGGTCCCTGTGGGTCCCTGTGGGTCCCTGTGGGTCTCTATGGGTCTCTATGGGGTCTTTGTGGGTCTCTGTGTGTCTCTATGGGGTTCCTGTGGGGTCTGTGGGTCTCTATGGGGTCCTTATGGGTCTCTATGGGGTCCCTATGGGTCTCTATGGGGTCCCTATGGGTCTCTATGGGTCCCTATGGGGCACACGGTGGGTGTGTCCCCCATTAAGCCCCGCCCCCAACCCCGCCCCATCTGCCCCCCTTCAGCTCGACTTCCACCGCGGCCTCTCATTGGACGGCGCCGGCACGTGGGCGGGGCCAGGAGGAGGAGGAGGCGGAGCCACGGGAGCGGTGGGCGGGACTTCCGGCGGGCCGGCGGTGGGCGGATCCTCTCAGGGGGCGTGTCCCCGCGGATCGGGGGCGGGGCTTCGCGAGGGGGCGGGGCTTCGGGCGGAACGGGAACGGGCATTGGCTCGCCGGGAGCGGGCGCGGGGGGAACGCGAATGGGATCGCGACAAAGGGGCGGGGCCAGCGCCTAGCCCCGCCCCCGCCCAGCCTGGCCACGCCCCTTCGCCCGGAGGCTCCGCCCCCGCGTCCGGAGGAAGCTCCGCCCACCGGGATTCCAGGCCACGCCCCTCCAGGGGAGGGGGAGGGGGAGAGAGGGGGCGGCCCAGGGAGCAGCGCCCCGAAAAGAGAGGTATGGGGGGG